CTCTTCTCTTCTTCCAGATATTTGTATGACCATTTTCCCCATTTCCTAAAATTTTTATTTAAACATCTTATTTGGGCTTACCCTAACCAGTGCATTTAAAATTGCAAACTGAAGGCTGGGTGCAGTGTCTCACACTTATAATCCTAGCACGCTGGAAAGCCAAGGAAGGTGGATTACCTGAGCTCGCGGGTTTGAGACCAGCCTGAGCAAGAGTGAGACCCCATCTCTAAAAATAGCCAGGCGTTGTGGCAGGTGCCTATAGTCCCAGCTTCTTGGGAGGCAGAGGCAAGAGCAAGAATCACTTGAGCCCAAGAGTTTGAGGTTGCTGTAAGTTGTGATGCCACAGCACTGTACCGCAGCAACAAAGTGAGACTCTGCCTCAAAAAATAAGTAAAATAAAATTGCCAATTGACTCACCCCCCACAACAATTGTAATCTTTCCTTCCTGTGTTTCCTTTTTCTGTAACACTTAACATACTATGTAATTTACTTTTTTTTAAAACTTTGTAATTATCATACAGTAAAATCGACTTTTTTCTCCTTAAGATATAAAATTTTTTTGTTTGTTTGTTTGTTTTTTTGAGACGGAGCCTCAAGCTATCCCCCTGGGTAGAGTGCCATGGCATCACGCTCACAGCAACCTCCAACTCCTGGGCTCAAGCGAGTCTCCTGCCTCCGCCTCCCAAGTAGCTGGGACTACAGGCGCCCGCCACAACGCCCGGCTATTTTTTGGTTGCAGCCATCGCTGTTCTTTGGTGGCCCGGGCTGGGGATTCAAACCCGCCACCTTAGGTGTATGTGGCTGGCGCCTTAGCCAGTTGAGCTATAGGCGCCGAGCCCATACAGTTATTTTCAACAATGGGGATCATGCAGTTGGTAACCTGGCTTCTCTCACTCAGCATAATGCCTTTGAGATTCACCCAAGTTGCTGAGTATACCAATAGTTCGTTCCTTTATATTGCTGAGTAGTGTTCTATTCTGTAGCTGTACCATATTTTATTCAAACACCTTTGAAGGAAATTTTGGTAGTTTCCAGTTTTGGCACTTAGGAACAGAGCTGCTAAAAACATTCCTGTATAGGCTTTTGTATGAACTTAAGTGTTCATTTTCTAGAATATCATTAACTTGTTAATTACATTATTATTATTTTTTTTTTTTTTTTGCAGTTTTTGGCTGGGGCCAGGTTTGAACCCACCACCTCCAGTACATAGGGCCACAGCCACTGCCCAATTACATTATTTCTTTTTTGCCTAAAACAGTTTTAGGCAAAACTAAATATTTTAAATGCCTAATGCCTGTCTTAGGCATATTTCTAAATGCCTAAAACAGTTCCTGGCACATAGCAGGAGCTCAGTAAATTAGTTAATGTACTATGATACTTTAGAATGAAAAGAGAAAGTGAAATCAGAGTCTCTGAGAACACATACAAAGGTTTACATCATCGAACACTAGACTGCAGTCTACTCAAACTCCAAATGGCCAGGACCCCTGCAAGTTGAGAATGTAAAAGACTTTTTACTTAGAGTAAAGCAGTTCCTCCCGAGTGTTTTTGGTGACCACCTATCAGATTCCTGATTTGGGGGAGGGACTTGGGAAGAGGTTAAGGAGAAACCTCTTGGGAGAATACTTCAACAGTGATGTCAACATAACTCATTCCTGTGTTGAGCCAGGTCTCCCACCCTGAGGATGATCTAGAAACAAACTTGCTTGCCAAAATAGGGAAAATAATGGCATCATTTTCCTCACATTGTGTGACCAACTCAATTTCACTTATAGTAATGATCACCAGCTGAAGGAAAAAAAAATAAGCATCAGAGACAAAAAGGAAAATAATGATTATGTGAAAGGTTCATATAAGGGAAGATGATCAGTTTATCCAAATAGTGTGTGTTTACAGTTGTATACTTTGTCTGTGCTATGAAGGAGCTTTGGGATAAGTTTTAAAAAGCCACATGGATAGCATTTGATTTAAAATAAGATGCTCCTTGGTGCCCCAAACATGGATCTCCTAGAAACCTTGTTCATTAGAGCTTGGAATTTGATTAAGAATCAGTTGGATTGTGGATCCCATACAATGCATTACAGTTTTTGAAGGCTCAACAAATTTCAGTTTACATTGATTCATGTTCTAAGTTTAAGCAAGGTTTTAGAATAAGTTTTCTTAAGGTTTTTAAAAAATAAAAATGCTATGGACTTTTAAAATTTTCCAATTGTACAGAACTACATAAAGAAAAAATCAGATGCAATCTATGCTTATATATATAAGCCCTGTTGATAATTTGATGAAGCTCTTTCCAAACATCTTTTTTTTTTTTTAATTGAACTAGAGCGTCACTTTGTCACCCTTGGTAGAGTATCATGGCATCACAGCTCACAACAACCTCAAACTCTTGGGCTCAAGTGATCGTCTTGCCTCAGCCTCCCTAGTGGCTAGGACTACAGGAGCCTGCCATAATGCCTGGCTTTTTTTTTTTTTTTTTCGTTTAGCAGGCCCGGGCCGGGTTCGAACCCACTGGCCCTGTAGCATGTGGCCAGCACCCTAACCACTGAGATATAGGTGCCCAGCCTAAATGTCTTTACAAGTATGTGTATAGTAGATATATATGTTTTTGTCACCCTAAAAAGGAGAGGGGTTACAGTGATGTTTTGAGGGTTGGAGAAAGCCCTTTTCGTATACAGTAAAAGTAAAGATAAGTAATAGATGATAGACAATTAGCTTCAACAGTGAACACTCAAAGTAGTTGATAAATACCAGTGTTTAAATATTTTGAAGACTATCTTTCACTCTCAGGAAAAACAAAATAATTCTGAAATATATCGTGGGTTTTTGAGTTGAACTAAAAGCCATGTGGTTGTGTAAAGGCTCTGTTTATCCAGCCAGGTGTCCAGGTTAAGGCCTCTTGTGACAACTAGGAGGTCGTAATATAGGACTAAATAGAAGACTGTTAACTTTCCACCCTTCTCCAATCTCGGGTTGATTAGAAACAGATGTCTAAGCTTGGCGCCTGTGGCTCAAGTGGCTAAGGCACCAGCCACATACAGTTAAGGTGGCGGGTTTGAATCCAGTCCAGGCCTGCCAAACAACAATGACCACAACCAAAAAATAGTTGGGCGTTGTGGTGGGTGCAGCTACTTGGGAGGCAAGAGAATCGCTTAAGCCCAGGAGTTGGAGGTTGCTGTGAGCTGTGATGCCACAGCACTCTACCCAGGGCGACAGTTTG